GTCATCCTTTGATGCATATGCCATGTATGCAAGGTTCTTGACTTCCAAATCGTATTCTGAGCTGTAGTCACTCCAGGATGCAACTAGAGCCTTTCCTTGATTTCTTATATTCAAAGGAGATTTTGATCGCATGTGCCCTGTTTTTCCACACTTAAAGCAAACTATTAGATCTTTCTCATAGGAAGACCTATGATCTTCCTTAGCCTCGTGTTTGAACCTTTCTCGACCTTCAAGGGGTTTAAAGATTCGTTTATCAGAACTGATTCTCCTGTCTGATTGTCGAGTAGGGATTCTATCAACTTCTTCTATGTTTCTACGTGTATTAAAGTGCTTTGTATCATTTAGAAACATTGTATCCTGAAAATCCCTTTTCATTTTCAGCATCTTGTGAAATTTTCTACTTACTAATGCAAATTCCCTTTCAAACTCTTCACCCATATCATAATCAGACTCACTGTCATACTCTTTTGCTTTGAAAGCAATGACCTTCTTTCGTATACTGTCTTTTTTATTCATTTGAACAATTACTTCCTCATGACTTAGTAAGGAACTATCAATCTCTCAATAGATAAGACATTCAAATCTTTAGCTTCTTCTATAGCTGTTCTTTTAGGCAACCATTCACGTGGTAGACTTTGTAGTATTTTTCTCACAAGATCTTTAGTTGCAAACATTTTGTCTAGACCTTTTAGTCTGTTAATTTGGTCATTAAATCTCTTATACGTGCTAGAAATTGAATCTCATGAGCACATTTCAAACGACTCATATTCATTCAAAAGAACACCTATTCTACTTTCCTTTACCTCAGACGTACCTTCATGGGTAGTCTGAAGAGACTCCCATATTTCTTTAGCTAATTTGCACTGAGCCACTTGACTTCTCTCTTCTGGGTAGAGGGCATAGTAGAGTATATGCATAGCTCATGAATCTAGTTGTGAAGACAACTTCTGCTCCTCTTCCCATTTCTATTCTTCTTCTGCGTTCATGGGAATCGGTCCTTTTCGAACAATTGACCACAGATCACCATCTACTCCTCGAAGGTAAATCTACATTATTTTCTTCTAGACAGTGTAGTCTGTTCCATCAAACCAAGGTGGATTTGTACTTGCAGAGTATGAAGCAGATGCTGATGAAGATCCCGCCATTCCAAGCTTCTCTTTGGCGACAGTTAGTCCTTCAAAGAGCCTGCTCTGATACCAATTGTGGAATCAGAAGGAGAAGCAAAGTATATTTAAGATCCTTTATTCGAACTACTTCTCTCTTCTTGATTCGTAATTTGGGAAAATTCTAATTTTATTTATCATCAAGGAAATATAGATTACAAACTAAGAACCCTAGCCAAGCCAAATCAATTGACCCTTTATATCAACAAGACTATACTTCAAATATCCCAATCCTTGATTCACCCAGCATACAAGCACTGTGAATCAAGGAATACTCAACTGGACCCACTATAGAAAAGACTATCTCACAAATCTTCCTACAGACCGCCAAGAAAACAAGCTAGATTACATTCTGTGATTTATACAAGTTGAGAAGATGAGCGTTTGAGGAGATGTCTGTTTGCTGTGGAGATGATCATGGTAGTGATCATCATTAGCTAGTAGAGTCGGTGATCTTTTCTGGAGCAGCTCGATGGGGAGCATCCTTCGAGGGATTTGTCTTGTGAGATGGGAGAGAATCGAAGAAGAAGACCTCTGTGTGTGTAGGAGGATGTTTGAGACTTTGAAGGACGACTTTAGCACGACGTCGTTAGGATGATTGATTTGGAACGGTGTCGTAGATGTAGCTAGTGGAGCGTTTGTCTGGAACGTCGTCGTTTTGGGCTTTTTCAGATGACACATTTCCTACATATTCATCCTCTATTAACCGAAAATGGTATAGAATGAGCTCTGCATGTTAATTTCCACAACTCATAGTCGATTGGCAAGTCGGTGATATTTACTTTCTTCGTCCAAGTCTCTTCAACCTAAGTTTGGTTTTGGTTTTCTATTTTCAAAAAAGCCTGTTAACATTCATTAAAAAAAGCCCCTAACAACATCTCTCCTAATTTCGACCTCAACACCACAGGATTATGTTTGGGACAGAGCAAAAAGAAGTGCCAGAGAAAGGAGAAGAATGTACATTGGACCTGCCAACAGGAACCAATCCCCTGAAGCTAATCGAGATTCTACTAGGGTGGAGAAGACACAAAGTTTATAGTGGCGAAACGGAGCACAAAACTTGGTCAGCCGCAAGGCAGACGTCGGAGGAAAAAGAGGTTGTAACTAATTATCGGAGGGAAGGGCAACAGGGAAAAGGGTGCACTACTAGGAGGCGGCCGGAACTTGACTTGCCGCCATGCAAATCGTCGCAGGGGAAATAGAAGGGAGAAGAATGTTAAACGACGGATGGGGAAAACGGATGTACAAAGAGATGGGGAAGAATTTTAAACTCCGGCTAGCTCCATCTTGGCCAAACTCCAGGATTCGACGGAGGGGCAAAAGGATGGGGACTGAACGACTCATTGGAACCGCAATTGGAAGGGATGGAGCTTGCCCAATCGCCAGGCGGAAGACGAAGGGGAACGATAAAGTAATTAATGGGGGTGCACCAAACTTGCGGTAGACCCACGAGTATTTGCCCAAACCCCATAAGTAAAACTTGCCAATTAATATATCTAAGAATCTAATATTTAGAGCCAACCGATTATTTCTGCTATTCACCTGTAGTGTGAATAACTAAATTATTCATGTGCAAAACAAGTGTACTCGTCAATTAATATATGTAAGGAAACTTTATGCATTCTACTCACTACTACGTTTAACCAAAACAAGGGTACCCTAGTTAATCAATGTAGTAAATCAGCTCAAGGTCGTATTTTACGAGAGCCTTTAAATGTACCATCACTCAACTTCGAACTGTTATCTAGATGATCCAAGATGTGAATGTTAGTAAACTAAACTAACATATGAAGAAACAACAACTAAACTACCAAAAAGGATGACCACTAGAGAAGAGAAAGTCTTGGTTATATTTTAAGCTACCTTTCGATGCTTGCTAAGGATTACCGTGATGAAGAATTTGATTTACTAGTTTATTTCTCTACGCAAATCCCTATATTGAACTCCCAACTCACTTGCATAGAATTGGAGCTTCTATCGACTAAGTAAATAGACTCGAGGTCCAGCAATTGAAATTACCCGGTCAACACACTCATGATTAGGATTCCACCAATGAAACTACCTCATTATTCATTAATAAGATAATCTCACTATGAAAGGATCATGTAGTGCTTGATGAAGCCACCCATCCAATCCTCCCCTATCTAAGGTAGCCCAAAAGGCCAAAACCCTAGAAATTGGGGATTGCTCTTCTTCAATCTCTTAGACCTAAATGCAATAAACTTGGATCCAAAATTCGTGCAATTACTTGATAATCATTAGTTGTTAGATATATTAATTGACGAGTACACTTAAGGGGTTTGGTTGGATGTCATAAGGTTCACTGTAAGTCTCCGTGCACCTCTTTCCCCTGTTTTTTCGTCCCGTCATTTTTTTTGCCTCATTTTTTTCCACTCTACCGACGAAGTTTGTTTGGAGGCCGGGCAAGTTATTTTTGCTGCACAACAACGTTTGATGTTCGATCATGGAAGTTCGACTGTTTCACTTTTTTACTAAAAAATATTTCACCATGTTAGTAATTTTTACATGGATTAGTTATGATTAAAGCATAATTCTACACATGAACATATTCAGAATGTCTACAAAGCAAAGGTAGCTCCAAGTTAAAAACGCTATTGTAATTTGTACAGTCTCCCTAACTTCAGTATCGGCATACCAAGGTGGGTCCCCAAATTCATCTCGGCTAGGTAGAGTATAGCTAGGTAGATATAAATTCTATGAAAAATGAATTCTCTAAAACTAGCTTCTTTATTCCTAATAATGAGTTCTCTGAAAAATAGTATTTTCAATTTTGAATGTTGACTAGATTATTATACATATATTTTATGTGAATTTGATGTTGTTTAAAGCTAGATAAAATTTTCGAGGTTTTTAGAATCATGGTCATTTGAAGAAGTAACTTATCATTGTTTCTACCTAAGTCTCAACCGCAAGTGTTGAAAGGACATTTGCAATGAGCCATGTGAAAAACACTCTTCGATATTGAATGGGTGACAAAATTATGAATAATTATTTATTAGGTTATATTGAGATTCATATCATATGAATGCATCATATAAGCCTTTCAAATTATGAGAACACATTGCGAATGGTTAAATTTTTTCTTAATATATTAATAAAGATTTGAACACATCTTACATAAAATCCTGATTACGCCACTAAATCTAACTAAATATTCGGATGGAGTTACTAGCTAATTCTTTGTTATCAATTCGAAATGTACTAGAGAACACTTATTAATATATGAAATTTAAATATAAACTCGATAGTTTTGTTAGGATATACATTTTCTATATAAAACGTAAGAGTATATGCACTTCGATTTAGAACAAAATTCATCTTCGACTCTAATGGAACAGTACATAATAATTAACCCGCCGCAAAACGCGGGCCAATTATCTAGTATAGTATGAAATGATTATGTAACAAGAAATCGTAGAGAGGGAGAGAGAAATTGTACGAAAGAGAAGAACAAGACATCGCTCAAATTTGGATTCATCTTCCCCTTCTCTATTTGGCCACTCCTTCTTCTTGAACGGATTTGAGGATTGGATTATGAAGTTATTGTTATGTCAGCTTCATAAACTGATCTCTCCATTACTTAATTGGTTCTTCTCCGTTCTTTTATTGTTTGCTTTGCTTGTTGTTTTCGCTCTGGATAAATGTGATTGTTTCTTCAAAATGTTACATTTCATTTTTTATTACAGTCAGAAGTAACTCAACATAAATACATACATCTATGTAACATGCATTCTTAGGAAACGTGTAGTTACATAAATTTCTTAATTATACGGAGAAAATGCTACTAACAGTATTGTCCCAAATGAAAAGTGAGCCAAAGCCAATACTGAAACTGTACAGAAGGGAACAGCCATAGATGATAACAAACTTTCACAGATTTGCTAGTGGCTATGCTCAGCAGTAGGGGTGGGCATTGGTTTGACCAAACCACTCCTAACCGCTCCAAACCGCTCCAACGGTCAATCCAAACCGTACCGTTAACTATCGGTTTCGTTTACGGACTAACCATTTAGTTATTAGTGGTTCGCGGTTTGGATTGACCGAAACTACACGGTTACGGTTCAAAACCGCAAACCGGTAATTCTTAGTGAATGTCGTCCACCACCAACGCACGAGTAGCTTTGCAGAGATTTTCTTCCTTACCGCAAACCACTATCCTCCCGGCGGCGATTCTTCTTCCTCATCCAGTCCCCGCCAGATCCGCACTATTCCCTCTCTACCCGGCGGCGATTCTTCTTCCTCATCCATACCTAACGATTTTTATGTTCCTCTCGATGTTGCACAACACCAAGAGACGAGAGATCCCGAGCTTCATAGATCGACGCCGACGACGCTTCCCCTGACCTAAAATCCATATTCGCACCTCCGCCGGCCTCCGCATCCAGCTCACACCGTCGTTCTGGGTACTCTCTCCCTCCCTCTTCATATCCTTGATAGGTTTCTTTTGGATTCGATCTCGAATCAACCACATGTCTTCCCGTCGGACCTCTGCCAAGGCGGCGACCGACCTACTTATCCCTTTGCCCTCCGTGGGTTTTCTAGTAGGAATAGAGTTACATATTGGGTATGCTTGGTGGGTTGATTAGATTCGTTAGGTATGGATCTAGGGTTGTTGTTACCGTACCCGAAATCTCCAGCACGGCGACGGAGAGGCCTGCTCGAGCAAGGTAGGCAGCGGCATTCAAGCCGTTGTGGCCGCCGCCAATCACCAGAGCGTCAAATTTCTTACCGGTTAGTGCGCGAGAGGTGGTCGCGCCCGTGCTGAAGCTTCGTCGCCACATGAGCGGACGTCCGATGGTGTTCGGGTGCGGAACTCTGGTTGATTGCGCTCCGGAGGGAATGCTGGTTAGTTGTGGGAATTCTCGTTCAGTGTTTCTTTGTCCATATCTTCATTACCACTAAGTATTAAGTAAACCCAATTTCTGGACTGTATCAACAAATTTCCTGGGGAAGAAGTATATATATGTTTAGGAGTAGTAGCTGCTTCCCCACTGCACGACCTTGCTAGGGATTCTGGTACCGTGAAATGGGGAAGTTTGAGGCCACGAGTCGAGGTGGGAAGGTATCAACAATTTCTGGACTGTAGTTGCTTCCCCAATTTCTGGACTGTATATATTAGGGGTGTTAGTCGGTGCGGTTTCGGTTTAACCGCACCGAAATATCGGTTAACCGCAATCAAAATTGTCCTAAGATCGCTAACCGAAACCGAAACCGACAGAGACTTCGGTTAACCGAAAACCGCAAACATCGGTTTCGGTTTTCCATTGCGGTTAACCGAAACCGCAGGTTCTGGTTCACTTTCTCGATTTTCGTTCAGAAACCGACACCCAAAACCGAATTTCAACCACCTTTTTTAATGATTCACCCTCAATTTTGAGTGACCTGCTTTTGTTTCATCCTCTATAATCACACACCATAAAGTCATCTAAATCAATTGAACATAAAGCCTAAAGCAACCACACAATTCAACCACAACTCCACAACATAAAGTCTACATACCCACAATTCAACCACAAGTCACAATCACAACTAGACACAAATAACAAGTTCATTATCTCCAAATCATCAACCTAAATGATCCGAGGATCTCGCTCCAATTCATCTAGCCCATAGTCATAATTTACTCCAAGATCTTCATCTAGCCCATAGTCATCAACCTAAGGTTCACTCTATCGAGTGCAAAGGGGAGTTAGAGAGGGGTGACTTTCGAGTTCTAACTCTTAAAAACATTCGAGACTCTTGATGGAGGGTTGTTTGCAATAGGTGAGAATTGGGATGTTTGGAATTGCGACTTTGATTGGTTTTGAATCTTACAACTTTTTCCCTTAGCCAAAGTAAAAAACCATGTAGTCACACTAGTAGGCGGTTATCGGTTTTCTTATCGGTTAACCGCTAACTGATTAGTCGGTTAGCGGTTAACCACTAACCAAAATACTACTAACCGAAACCGAAACCGAAACCAATAAGAAAGTAGCGGTTATCGGTTAACCACTAACCGACTTTATCGGTTCGGTTATCGGTTTTAACCGACTAACCGTTTATCACCCCTAGTATATATATGTTTAGGAGTAGTAGCTGCTTCCCCAATTTCTGGACTGTATCAACAATTTCTGGACTGTATCAACAAATTTCCTGGGGAGGGTTAGATGGGATTTGCTTTCAGATCATAATATGTAATTATGTTTATAGTTTTACCTGTCACAATGTTCTAACTGTTTTCTTTCATATGCTTGTAGGGCTATAATGAATATGTGAATTCGATATCAAGCAATAGGGAAACAGAAGATACTGTTATTGGAAAGATGAAATCTAAAGGCTCACAGAGAAAACGAGCTCGAGCACCGATACCCAGCAGCAATGTGCTTAGTGTTAGTGAGGTGAGAAGGATAAATTATCTTGTTTGCCTGTTATTGGGAGATAGCGAGATTCAAGGACTAAGACTAAGTTACATTTACATGCCATGTCCCAGTAGCCAGAATTCCTGTAACGGATGGCACAGGGGATTGTTATACCTTGTTTTCGATGGGCTTGTATTGTTATGTATATAAACTCTATTATTGAAGGAAGTTTTTTGCTTTGTACCAGATATGGATCCTGGTTATGTTGATCAAACACCTTTGGAAATGGATGCAATTTCTGATTTGACAAAAGACGTTGAGCTTGGTACTTATGAGTTATATGCTCATTATGAGAATCAAATGGAAGTAGGTGAAGATTCCTCCTCTCAAACAGAAGTAGATGATAATGGTGGGAATGTGGATTTAGTTGCCGAGTATATGAAACAAATGCAAAAGGAAAGAGGTGTAGTGAACAATACCGAGTTGGATAGGTATTTGAAGGAGGATGTTGAAAAATCAACGGATGCCAAGTTTAATGTGTTAGGATGGTGGAAAGTAAACAACCATATGTTTCCAACTTTGTCTCGGATGGCAAGGGATGTATTGGCTGTCCCGGTTTCTACGGTTTCATCTGAAGCAGCTTTTAGCACTGGAGGTAGGGTGCTGAATGATTTCAGGAGCTCTTTGACTCCTATGATTGTTGAGGCTCTGATTTGTACTCAGGATTGGCTCCGGGCAGAATCTAGTGTGTGTCTAGTTGAAGAAGATTCAGAGGAGATTGACAATATCGATGAAGGTGAGTAACCTAAAAAAGCTACTGTTTATGTACCATGTACATTTTATGTAGTGATTAAACTGTCTTCTTATGAATTTCAGAGTTGAGCATGATTATGAAGGCTATTGGTATATTTGATGTTCCACTTCCCCGTATCCATACTCCTCGTATGAGTCCTAATGTAGAGGCAAGCGCAAACATATAAGGTAACATTTGAACTTGATCATTAGTGCAATTTCTGAGCTGCCTTCTTTAGAATCAGAACTCGTATCTTGAGACGATTGAAACGAAGGGAGTTGTTCTTTTGATTGAATGCCTCCTGCAGCACAATAAGAAATGTTGCTAAGAGCTCTGGCCAAATGCAATTGATTAGGAGACATCTTATGCTTGTCCCGGTTTAGTTGTTGAGATACTTAGTTGATTGCTGTTGGTAATTCTTGTCAGGGGAGCGTGGCAGAAATTGGGTTCTACTTGGGATTCTGGTTCATCTGGGGTAAGGGATCGGCATTCTCTGGTAAAAATTTTCATTCTTCGTTTATGTGGACCTGACTAAATGCTAGTTTGTTTCTCTATGGTGGCCAGAAAACTAGGGCCAGAGATCGCGATGGACGGAGTTCTGATTCCAAAGGACCAATGGATGCTGAAGTTTTTTGGTGGCTTTGTAAAAGATTTTAGTTAGACTATTTGTGGAGATGCAAGGCATGGGGAAATCGGGCCTTCCCTTGTCTTGGTGTTCTTGTGGGTAGTTTCTAGTTGGAACTTTCAATGGCATAGACAAGTATATGCTTTGTTTGCATCAGCTTAACTTAGTTTTCATTAATCTTTGTAAAGAAGAGTTTTGTTGAGCATATGCTCTGTTTTGGTGGCAGAAAACAGAGCAATGTAAAGAGGAACCCTGTTTTTTATTTTTGGCTATTATCTCATGCCCTTGCGTGGGATCCTCTCCCTTCACTCTGGCTGCAACATGGACAAAGATGGGGATTATCAGGCATTGATTGTGTTAATATATGTATTGGCTTGATATTGTGTACAGGGACGGGTAAAAAATGTGACAGCAGTCTTTTTTCTGAACAGGTAAAAAATGTGACAGCAGTCTTTTTTCTGTTTTAGGGGCAGGAAACGGAGCAATGTGTAGGGGAACTCTTGCCATTTTTTTTTTTGCTGTTATTTACAAGCTTCCTTCTTTTCTTGTCATTTGCGGTCAAAATGCGGTGCGGTCTAAACCATACCAAACCGTTAATTTATGCGGTTTGGTTTGACCGCACCAATAACTTCGCGGTCAAAGATGCGGTGCGGTTTACATAAATGCGGTTCGGTGCGGTTTATAAAAATGCGGTGCGGTGCGATCCGAACCGTACCGATGCCCACCCCTACTCAGCAGGAGCTGCTGCTAAACAACATACCCTTACATACTACAGAAATGATCTGATTCCCAAGAGTATGAACTCTGTCTTATTGCTAAAGAAAAAGGAAGAAGAATTGAGATCAAAGCTCCAAACTTCTCATCTAGAAACAACATGGCTTCTAAGGACCTGATCAAGGCAACCACCATCATCAAAGTTGAGAGCGTAGCTACGGATGTCATAGCTGAACTGTGAACTGCTGCTGTTGCTGCTCTTCTGCGGCCACCCGATTGCCCGCTTCCAGTGCGCCCTCAGCTTGTAAATCAATCGCACAGTGACATAGACCTACTACTACTCCTGCGGCTACCCAAAGAAACCTTTGTCTTCCTGTCAACAATGGACGCCATGGCAGCAGCTGATGTGATGCTAGGAATTGATCTCTTCCCCTGCCTCAACAACGGGATTCTTCTCATGCTTTGTGTGTTCGGGAACTTCATGGCAAACCGTGCTGCAATGTCAAGAATGTAATGAATGAAACACAATGAGAGAGGGAGGGTTGTGAAATGGAACTAGAGGTTGAGCTTTCTGTGTATAAACTGCAATTTCACTCACTGATACCAGCAACTATGAAATGATGAATCTTAAATAGATGTCAAAATACCATTAGTGAGGTTACTTTCAACTTTTGCTTTGCCCACTAGGCACCAGCTACTTTACAGTCAAATCAAATTGCCACCAAGTTGGGGGATGAAGCAGAATTCGACCTTAGTGAGGTTGTGTGGTGTCAAAAGAGGTCTGTGATGACTACACTAGGGCCAAACAACATGTTACACTAAAGGGTAAAGTAATTAATGTCTATCTATGACTAATCCTCTTGTTTGATATCCTTTGCGCTTTACGGCTTAGGATAGGGTGAGTAACCCTTTGTTACTCACCCGTGAGTAACCACATAGGGACCGTCGATCTTGGCGGGACGGATCTTGTGGCTGTGATTGATGCGGTGTTTTTTGTCCACGGTCAGGGGCATTTTTGTCCGATATTTTATATTTGAATTAAATGACTTTCCCTCTTTGTCCGTTGCAAATCTTTCTGTGCGCGAGTTGGATTCGGATTTTGGAGAGAGAAAGGGGAGCAGCAGCTGAGAAATAAGGACGGCGATTCTCCATTGTTGATCGACGGCGATAGAAACTGCGAGCAGCAGCTTCGAATCGAGCTTTCTGATTCTCCATAATTGATCGACGTGTGCGCGAGTTGGATTCGGTTTTTGTAGAGAGAAATTGCGAGCAGCGGCTGCGAAACAGGGGACGGCGAATCTTTTCCGATTCTCCATAATTGATCGACGACGAGGTTAGATATTAGTTTTTTTTTATTCTTTCTGTTTAGCTAATCGAGTTTTCTGTTGATCTCTGGTTTCGTTGGAGGTTTTTCATTGCTGCTAGTCGAGCTTGTTCATGTGTTATGTTCTTTGTGTTTTGGTGTTTTGGCAGTATTCTGGTGAGATGAGTAACGTAAATTGTGGCGATGTTGTTCCAATTGATAGATCTGGTTCTTCAACCAGCGTTGTAGGATCTGGTTCTTCATCTAGTGCTGTTGGAACTGCTTCCTCATCTATTGATCTTGGATTTGATCATTCAGCTAACTCTGGTGAATCAGGAGGTAAGATATGCAAATTTTTTTGTTTATTGAAGTTTGTATAGTGTCGTAATTTGATTTTACTATGCCTTATCATGTGGTTATTGATTTTATAGTACATTACCATGTGGTAAAATGTGGTAATTAGGAAGTTAAATGTGATATTTCTGTGTGATAATTGATTTTACCATGCCATACCATATGGTATAGTGTGGTAATTTGATTTTACCATGCCTTATCATGTAGTAATTGATTTTACAGTACATTACCATGTGGTAAAATGTGGTAATTAGGAAGTTAAACTTGAGGATTCTGTGTGATAGTTGATTTTACCATGCCATACCATATGGTATAGTGTGGTAATTTGATTTTACCATGCCATACCATGTGGTATAGTGTGGTAGTTTGATTTTACCATGCCATACCATATGGTATAGGGTGGTAATTTGATTTTACCATGCCTTATCATGTGGTAATTGATTTTACAGTACATTACCATGTGGTAAAATGTGGTAATTAGGAAGTTAAATGTGAGGGTTCTGTGTGATAATTGATTTTACCATGGCATACCATGTGGTATAGTGTTGTAGTTTGATTTTACCATGCCATATAGTGTGGTAATTTGATTTTACCATGCCATACTATGGTGGTAACTCTTGTATCATGGGTGTAATTATTGGTATACATTGATATTTCATACTGTTGTGGTGTGGAATCCATTTAATATGTTGTTTCATAATGTTTGTAGGTTTCAATGGTATAGATCCTACTGTTCGTGATTCTTGGAAGGACTTAGAGTTCAATACACCAGATGATGCATATAATTTTTATGTTGATTATGGGAATCATGAAGGTTTTGGTGTGAGGATTTATAACCAATCAGCGTGTCCGAAGCTCAATGGTGGTTCTTCAGCTGTATATTATATCAAGTATTGTTGCAATAAGGAAGGTTCGAAAAGAGGTAGCGAGAATAACCCTGATAATGCAGGTGTTGTTGATACGACGGTTCGTGTTCGTAATGTTCCAGAACTCAGGGGTGGATGTAATGGTGCTTATATACGACTGAGGTGGTTTAAAGAGTTTAAATGTTACAAGATCTATCGTTGGTATAATGTGCACAACCATGACATGATTCCTGAGTCTCTGCGTCACTATGTGAGATCCAGCAGACGAATGGCTCCTGTGTATAAGATGCTGGCAGAGGTGAATGATGCTGCTGGTATTGGTGTGACTTCTTCGTATAATGCAATTAGTAGGGCTGGTGGTGGTCGGAAGTTTGTTGGGTTCACAAAGAATGATTTGAAGAACCATCTGCGAACGGTTAGGACGTCATCAATGGAGTATGGTGATGCGACTGCATTGCTTGAATACTTTAGACGTCAAGCACAGCTGGATCCTGGGTTCTTTCATGAGGTGGAGGTTGATGTTGAAGAGAACATTGCTAGTATTTTTTGGGCAGATGGGAAGATGAGGATGGATTATCATTATTTTGGTGATTCAATTAGTTTTGATACTACTTACCGGACTAACAAAGAGTATCGGCCACTAGGTATGTTTTCTTGTTTGTTGTTTATTATTGTGTTTGTTAGTTTGTATGAGTATTATTATTATCATTCTGTATCATGTTTTTTTTTTGTTCTTAAATGTATTTTACCATATGGTATGTGTTGGTAACAAGGTTATTTGAGGTGGTTTTTGTTCTTAAAAGTATTTTACCATATGGTATGTGTTGGTAATAAGGTTATTTGAGGTGGTCTTTGTGCTTAAAAGTCTTTTAACATATGGTATGTGTTGGTAACAATGTTATTTGAGGTGGTTTTTGTTCTTAAAAGTATTTTACCATATGGTATGTGTTGGTAACAAGGTTATTTGAGGTGGTTTTTGTGCTTAAAAGTCTTTTACCATATGGTATGTGTTGGTAACAAGGTTATTTGTGGTGTTTTTTGCGTTGTTAGAATGTGTACTATATGGTAGTCTGGTGTGGATTGTTTTTTTTTTTTGTTCTTAGAAGTCTTTACCACATGGTATGGGTTGGTATTATTGTTATTCGTACCTTTTACCACATGGTATGTGTTGGTAGAATTGTTTTTAGGGTTAATACCCTCGTTTGGCACAAAGTATAGCGTTAGTGACATTTCTGGCTCAAGTTTTCAAATAAGACATCTCTGGCCCACTTTTCAAATTATCGGACGAATTTGGCCTATGGAACGGGTTGACTGTCAGATTTGACGGTCAACAATATTCTCCGTTGCTGACTCAGCATTGGACTCTGACGTGGCTTGTCCACGTCATTTATTTTTAAAAAAAATAAACAAAAATAAACAAAACTAAAAGGGAAAGGTGGAGACCAGCCCCCTTCTTCCTCCTGTGAAACCAACCCCCTCTTATCCCTTCCCCGAACAACTCCGCCCGATCCCTTGAACTGCCATACCCCCAATCAATTAACCACAACGCAGATTTGTTATTTCATCGAGCTGGAAATCGACTCGTTCGCCGGGAGCGGGGCGGAAACCTCGTCGGCGGCGAGGGACGACGAAGACGAGCTGATTCTGGAAGCAATCGCCAGGCTTCCGTCGGAGAAGCGGGACAGGTACGCGGTGCTGAGGAGGACCGAGACCATCGATTTGCATAAATTGAAAAAGACGGACAGAGAGCTGCTGGTGAAGAAGGCTCTGGCGACCAATTCGCAGGACAATTTCAAGCTGCTTTCGGCGATCAAGAGCCGGCTGGATCGGGTCGGGATCGAGGTGACGACGGTGGAGGTGAAAAGGTGGAGCGGCCGATGGATGCGGAGGGAAAGGTTTGAATGGGTTTGTGGACCACCTCACGGATTGGATCCGGTCCGGGAAGATGATTGATTGATGGGCGGCGGAGTTGTTCGGGGAAGGGGATACGAGGGGGTTGGGTTCACAGGAGGAAGAAGGGGGAATGAAAGAGATGGGTAGTGTGTGGTGGACCTGGTCTCCACCTTTCCCTTTTAGGTTTGTTTTTTTTATTATTTTTTTTTAACTTACTGACTTGAAATGTTCATAAAAAGGGAAATAAAAATAAATGACGTGGACAAGCCACGTCAGAGTCCAATGCTGAGTCAGCAACGGAGAACATTGTTGACCGTCAAATCTGACAGTCAACCCGTCCCATTGGCCAAATTCGTCCGATAATTTGAAAAGTGGGTCAGAGATGTCTTATTTGAAAACTTGGGCCAGAAATGTCACTAACGCTATACTTCGTGCCAAACGAGGGTATTAACCCTTGTTTTTACTCACATTTTGTTATGTTTATGTAGCTTTGTTTGTTGGTTTCAACAATCATCACCAACTGACTGTCTTTGCGGCTGCTCTTCTCTATGATGAAACAACAGCAACATTTGAATGGCTTTTCGATCAGTTTTTGAAATGCATGGGAGGTGTGAGACCGTTATCAATGTTTACTGACCAGGCTGCTGCAATTGCTGCTGGTATAAGGTCTGTTTTCCCAGATTGTTTTCATGGGTTGTGTACATGGCATATTGCTCAGAATGCAGTTGTTAATCTGGGAAGTTTGTGTGACTCTGACTTCCTTCGTGAGCTTAGTTATTTGATGTATAATGCTGATGATGAGGATGATTTTGAGTATAATTGGAAGAAGATGATTGAGAAGTGTTTTCCTGGGAAGGGACCTTTGGGACACAGTTGGTTACAGGGTATTTACAAAGTCAGGACGAAGTGGTCTTCAGCGTGGGTGAATTGTCATTTTGGTGCGGGAATGAAGAGTACCCAGCTAAGTGAGTGCTGCAATAGTAATATTCGACATTACTTGCAGTCAAAGTTTAGTGTTAGTAGGTTCTTTGTGCACTTTGAGAGGATGCTTGATAATAAGAGGGATGCTGAAGAACAAGAAGAGTACTATGCCTTATCTAGGTTGGCTGATTCTCGGTTTTCTACTAGCCCTATTGTGAAGCAAGTTGCTAATGTGTATACGCCGAAGATATTCAAGTTTTTCCTGGATCAGTACAAGGAATCCCTTGCGTATAATATTTTTTCCAATACGGAGATAGAACCAGAAGGACATGTAGGACTGTTTGATGTCTTCGTATTGGAGGATGACCTTACAAGGTTGGATAGTAGGGTGTTGAAGGTTGATTTTGAAAACGGTGAAATCAAGTGTTCTTGCCGTAAGTGGGAGTCAAGTGGTATGATCTGTAAGCATCAAATTAAGGGATATGATATGTTGTGGTCTACAACGTGCAATCTGAAGTTCCAGCACATTCCTAGCAGTTTGATTTTGAAGCGGTGGACAAGGGCAGCGAAAACTGGAGGGAACTTTTCTTTTGAAGTTCCGTCTACTGATAGTCCATCGAAATACCGTTCTCGTCTTTTCAATCTGTCAGCTGTTTCTGCATCAATGATCAGCAGGGTTGCATTGGATGATGATTTGTATAAATCAGCCATGGCCTTCATGACTGATTTGATCAAAAAGTGTGAAGCCCTATCGATTACTGAACCTGCTGGAACAAGCACGTCTTCTAACGGTGACAGTAAGTTTTTTTTAATTGTTTAGAGTTTGTTTTTGTTTTTGTTATCTGTCATTGATTGTAGTTTGTTTTTGTTATCTTGGTATAGATGATGTACCGGTCCAAAAAGTGAAGGGGTTTAAGCCTAAAAAAGATTCATTCAAGCCTTCAAAACGACCAATTCCAGCTGCGGAGGCTGCAAGGGCTGTAAGCAAGAAGAAGAGAAAAACTAGCAGGCTTGAGGAGGAGAATTTGAAGGCTGTTGAAGAAAGTTTAAGGCTGAAGCTGTAATAGTTTTCTTAGAGGATTATCTGAATGAATGGTTGATGCTGGTTGAGTTGTTGAAGCTATTTTGTTCTTTTGGATGGGTTTTTGGTTTTGTTGGATTAATTTTACAATGTTATACCATGTGGTATAATGTGGTAATTTGATTTTATCATGTCAAACCAGGTGGTAAAATGTGCTAGTTTGGAAGTTGAATGTGAAGGTTCTGTTTTATAATTGATTTTACCATATGGTATAGTGTGGTAATTTGATTTTACCATGTGGTAATGTGTGGTAATTGATTTTACCATGTGGTAAAATATGATATTTTGGATGTGGCATGTGTGGTAATTGATTTTACAGTACATTACCATGTGGTAAAATGTGGTAATTAGGAAGTTAAATGTGAGGGTTCTGTGTGATAATTGATTTTACCATGCCATACCATATGGTATAGTGTGGTAATTTGATTTTACCTTGCCATAGCATATGGTATAGTGTTGTAATTTATTTTTACCATGCCATACCATGTGGTAAAATATGGTTTTTTGGAAGTGGTATGTGTGGTAATTGATTTTACAGTGCATTACCATGTGGTAAAATGTGGTAACAAACTAAAACACAGCAGGACTTATGGTTTTTTTGCTATTTTACAACATGAAACCATAGTTTACCACACATTACCATATGGTAACGAAGCAAAACACAGCAGGACTTATGGTTTTTTGTTATTTTACAACATGCAATCATAATTTACCACACATTACCATATGGTAAAATATGGTAATTTGGGAATTAAGAACACATGTTAAGTATTTGCTAACATAATAAAAAACAGAACATTTCTTTTAGTCATAATACAAACCATAATAAGTTGTTTCATACCATCCTACTAATTAAAATGAAGTGGCTACTGAACATTGTGAGTTTGTTCTCAAAAGCTTACTCATACCCTTCTACTACTTAACACAAATGATAATAGAATTTTCATTTCCTTCCTTTCAACTCTTTCTTCTTGTTCTTCATGTTGCAGTACTTTGTTGCTTCTTTCATGATCCTTTCCCTTTCAAGATTTTCTTCATCAAGAATGATGTCCAACATCAGGCACTCCCTTTCATCATTTATGAGATCAATCCTCTTCCAATCTTTGGTCAGGGCACTGTTGTACTTACCTTCCCAGTGTCTCATCCACCTGATGACGTACATCCCACATGAAATTTGATCTGGTTGTGTAACCTTCTCGAGCTTGAACCAGCTAAACCTCTCCCACCTTACTGTCTTGTCTGCAAACTGTGTCTTCATGTAGTTGATTGCGTACTGGACAACCCTCTCTGCCATTGATTTGTATGTTTTCTCAAAATCTTTGTGACGGAGACTGTCGAGCACTTCAAATCTCTCTGCTTTGATGTTGACACAAATCATGATGTAGTGCTTGTTATTACAGTAAGGGAAGAACCACTGCAAAATAATTTTACCACAGTATACCATATGGTAAGCAGGTGCCATATAAGTGATGAACAATAAGTTAAGTTAAGAACAATTGCAAACTAATTTTACCACTATATACCATATGGTAACCACTGCAAAAATTGTGGTGAGATACTTACAAGGTTACATTCTGTGAAGCTGAGGTTTTTGGCCCATTCTTTGTTGGTGATGTCCAAGTCCACTTTGTTGTAGTAATCGTCTGGAGATAGTACAGGATTGCCACTATCAATGTCCAGTTGGCAGTCACCCTGAAAGTTGTGGTTGTTATTATGTGTTTTATATATGTGTTGTCTAAGAACTTTTGACAAAATATGGGTGGGTTTACTTACTGCCAAAGATGTATCGAAGAACCACCTTGTGAATTTTCCTTTTTTTGCTTCATTCCTGTTCATTACATCTCCATACCAGCCGATGACATCAGATGTGATTTCACAGCCAATGTCAATTGACTGTACTGACTCCCTTTTCAGCATGAATGTTCCATCCTTCCTTTTAAACATTATCTCATCACTGTATACAAGCACATCACAACAGGACGGATGGTTTACTTTAATTTATCACATCAAACAATAGGTTACCACAACAAAACCATAGCTTACCACATCTTATCATATGGTAATAAGTAAAGCACACCAGCTTAGCACATCTTACCATATGGTAATAAGTAAAACACACCAGCTTACCACATTTTACCATATGGTAATAAGTAAACACACCAGCTTACCACATTTTACCATATGGTAATAAGTAAAATAGAACAGGAGTTATAGTTTAATCCATTCTTTAACAACAAACCTTAGCTTACCACATCATACCATATGGTATTAAACTAAAACAAAACAGGACTTGTGCATTACTACATTTTGTAACATTAAACCATAGATTTATCTAATTTTACCATATCTTACCATATTTTACCATATGGTAACAAACTAGATCACTACAATAACATCATATAACAGTAGAAGTTTTAAGATGATGACTTACCTCTTGGCAAATTTCTTGTTTTTGCATCTTATGTACTCCAGGATGTTGCTGAACATATCATCAGGTGTTGTTTGTGTTGGTGTTGACCATTCAACTGGTGATTTTTGTAACTGTGGAGCGACTAGGTCGGCAGCTGGAGAATTCAGGTCCTCTAGGTAAGCATCTATGCATTCACGGACTTCCTTGAGCTTCTCTTGGCTGTTTGTGTACAGATTTGACCATATAGCATATGACCCCTTCTGTGACTGGGTGCTTTGTGGCTGTTCTGGTGGTGGTGTTGCTCTTGCCTTCATTTCATTTCCGTGTACATTCTTTATCACGATTCTTCTTTTGCGAGGCTCTGCTGGTTGATCGGTTGCTGTGTTGGTAGTCAACTTTGTTGGTGTTGTTGGTGTTTGACGGTTGAGAGGGCTGAGATCAAAGGATGGAATGTCGTCTTCCCTCGTCACTTTAGGCTTCTCAGCAGCTTCGGTTGTCAGTTTTGGAGCCTCTTCACGAACAACATCATCTGATACCGTCTTCTCGCTGTCAGTTTCTGCAGTCTTTTGTGCAGCTTGCCCTGTATTCCCTTCTTCTCTTGTTTCCTTATCAACTTCCATTGCATCTGCTGTTTTGGTAGCTCCTTTT